GATCCTGTCACTATGATCACCCACTCAGATGAATTCTCAGACTGTCCCAACATACCCAGGTTTTGATCCCCATCTAAGAATCTCACTGATTGGTATATCAAAGACAGCCCAATCCGACACCTAGTGCAGTATCATAATCGAGTCTAGGGGTCATGTGTAACTTTCCAGTTTTGCCCATCAATCTCTAAGGTCCAGGGCAATACTAGAAATCTGGTCCGATTCAAAGATTCAATTAATCCTACACTGCATGTGCCTTGGGTCTCACCCTGGCAGCTGAGACAGGCCACCCCAACAGTTGGCAGCACCAGTGTCAACCTTGACAGGATAAATCTCCCCAGACTTATCCAACAGCTGTGAACATTCTAAACTAACACGAGTCTCATAAGTGTCCAGTTTAAGGGTATTAGCAGAAACACACCATAGGAACATGAATCAAATATGTACTTCATTCATTTTTCTGATTGGAGCTAAGGGCATACAACTGTCTAACATGACATACTTCATAAAGTTGTTTCAACTTAAAATTTTTGACACCATTACAATATTGAACAAAAGAGAAAACAATGGTGCAATTAAAGCTAAGAACAAGTAATAGGTGGTACTCGAGATGCTGCCTTGGATCATAAAAGACAGGATGTTATGGACATTCTGTTCATTACTTCAACCGTCTAAACAAGATAAGGAGACTAGAAAGAAAGTGATAGCACTGAAAATAGAAAATTCCATAACCTTTTTCTGTAGCCTCCTTTTCTCTGCTTCAAGCTTCTCCAGCAAGATTGCTTTTTCTTTCAGGTTATCTCTTATAGAAAATCTTCCTGCTAAATGATCACATTCTTGTCGTACCTAAAATAAGCAATATACCAGAATGAAGTTAAATTTATCAGACAGAAATTTGTTGAAAGGGTTCGTGCATTAATCTTATATTGATGGCAGCTCAACATATATTTAATAAAGTTAAATGATCAGAAAGAATGTACATTCCATGCATAGAATACATGCAATTGATGTTATGTCTGATACAGAATACTTGCCAAGACATGTCTATGCTCTTTAAGCACGAACCCTTTCCACACAGGGCAAAAACATTGATTGTGCAAACAATATTAGAGTAATAGAGTTCTGAAAACCTACCTTGATTTCAAGTTCAACCATTGAAATCTTTTCCATTAAATGAGAATGTTTGATTGAATACTTCATTGCTGGATCTAGATCATTGGAATTCAACAATAGATGGAAACGTAGTCCCCCAATAAACACCCATGCACAACCAAGATTATAAAGGAAACCTGACATACAGAAGTACCTTAGTAAAAGACCTGGAAGTATCTTTCTAAACCCTGCATTCATATGAAAAACAGTAATCCAAAAATTTTAAAACCTTACCATTTGATGAGTATTGCATGGATAATACTTGAAGAAGTGGTTCAATATATGTCTCCCTTAACGAAGTCAATCTGCCATGGCTTGATGTTGCAATAATCCGGCTTATTGTTTGGAGAGTACTTTTCTGTAATGAGAGTCAGCAATAGTAAACAAGGTACACAATGAAGTTGCACAGAATAAAATAAACTAAGCCTAGTCCCAACTATATGTGATCTGCTACATGAATCCAGTTTAGACATTCCATTCTGTTCAGTGCCACTATTGTCATCATTGTTTTTTCTTTTGATAAATTATTGTCATCATTGTTATCATTGTTATCACATGCTGGAGGGATGCATTACAGATTCAACTTTTCTTGGACTGATGTATTTACGTCATTGTTATCACATTTCCATTCATCTCTTCGGTTTGATTTTTTTTTTCCAACTTCCTAGCATAGGTACAACCCAAATCTACTCTCTTGTCAATTCCTCAGCTCCTCTGTGATGGTATGATAGACCTAATTTTTTACCTTCACATCTAACTGTCTCCTTTTTATTCATTCACAGATTTAAAAAACAGCCACATCTTTCTCATTGAAACTCCCCTCTTCTTGAAGCTTCAGCTCTCCAATGGATCTCAAGTGTACCCTTTCAAATCCCATATGACGGTAGAAAACAACAGCATTCGCCCTCCCCTCCAACCAAGGTTCAAAATTTCAATATGAAGAATTTTTTTTAATAAGTAAAACACATAAAAATGCCCAAACTCAAACTTTGAAAAAAATACAAAAAAGTGCAAAGTTCAAAGTCTCAATACACCCCTTCAGGAATATCAGCGTGTATCAATATTTGAACCTTGCCTTGACCTGTTGGTTTCTTTATTTGCTGTTTAGAAGGTTCCAGTGTTGTGTCTGCTCAGTTGTTAGCTATGGTGGTGCATAACCTTTTCTTCACTCTTTCCTTTTTGTTAATTTGTTTTTCTTTTTTTGTTGATTTGGGAGGATGTCGTTTAGGATGGTTTTTCTTGAGCTGATGGGCATTATCTCCTCTTTTCTGTAACATTTTCTTCTATACCTTTTCCTAGTTGTTTTCATTTCTTTCTATGAATCCTGTGTAATTTCCCTTTAATTTAACACAACATAATAACATTTAGATGACATGATTCTTGAGAACTTCACCAATTGGATCCAAAAGGTTTCAGGGGAAATGTGTACCTCAATTGTTCTCCCCTCAATGGAACACAAAATTGACTTGATCTCCAAAAATTTATCTTCCTCAAAAGATTTTCTGTGTGCAAAGATAATCTGATGAAAAGTAAAAGAAAATTAGAAAACAACACAAAAGTCTCATAGATAAACCTCCAACTTACAAGAAGACTATTACCTGCTGGAAAAGAGAGTTAGCAGAAGAGAAAAGAATATTAGGAATATCTTTCACTTGAGATGAACATTCCCAAAGGTTACGTGAAGTAACTCTAAGCTTCAAGCAGTGCAAAGAATAATCCTTGATAGGAAATTTACTTTGCCTGTCATAAATGCACCAAAAAAGAAGCATATTGATGTATACATAAAAATATAAATAAAAAGGAAAAACAAGAAAGGAAAAAAAAAAAGATCTTACAGAATCTGCTCAAGCACAGTGGTTATGATAGGCTGGAAAAGCAGATAAGGTTGCCGTATCTCACAGTCATCAATCTGCAAGAAACTCAGGATTAAGTGGAACTAGTGCAGGAAGATGATTAAAAAATATTCCCTTGAAAAACCTATCTGAAAGTTTTGTGTAAACCTTGACTGATTCAGGACAACTGCTCCATAAAAATGAGTGCCACTTAAACCACATCTCAAGAACAAAACTTGCAATATTTGCTTTCACTGTGTGCAGAAGTAAAAAGTTAATTAATAATGCAACTTAAAAAAACAGGAAAACAAAAATGAAAATAAATGAAATCCAACCCATATCGGATGAAGATGATGCTTCCAATGTCCACAGGATTTTCTGATGCGGTACAAAATCTGTAGGAGGTCTTGAGGAGAAATTCAACGAAAAATTCAATGTAAACTTCAAAAGCTCAGACATGTTGGACAAATGCTGCAAATAAAAGAATTGTTAAATGGGCAAGGATTGTGGATTATTGAAGGACCCATACAATAAATCGAAATCGACAATCACATCCAATGTACAATAATTGCGATGTGAATAAAGATGCACATAACTGAACAACCATACCTTAGATATTACCGTTGATGCATAGTTGTCAAGGTGATGCCAAGTGCAAGGATTTTTTGGGCATTGTTCTAAACACTTTGACATTTCCACATGGACTATGTACCAATTATTGATATTAACTACACCTTATCATTTGTACAAAAGAAGATGAAAGGGACAAAAGATTTATCTTGTGGTTTGGTTCCAAATAGCAGACATGCTGAGAGGGAAGAATTGCAAATGGGATGGCAGATGTATTAGCAAAACAAAGGGTAAATAGACATATTTTGTTTTGGGCAAAAGTGTAAAGCTGTAAGCCTGGGTTGGTTGGAGAGCACCAACATTGTATCAAACTTAATTCATATCTTAATCTAATGAATCCCTTTTTCTGATAAAAAAAAGAAGCTTTTCTTAATTTAGAAAGAAAGTGAAAATTAAAAAAAAAATGATTTAATTTATCTTTTCTAAATGATTTTCATGGTATAGATGAACTATAAGATGGATTTACCAATGATATATCAAATCATGGATCAAACAACAATTTAACATATCTTGTAATCAAATTTTCGGTAGAATGGAAAGCTCAAATATTGTTTCATTAATTACTAGTAAAATTATTGTATGATATCTACATGTTTCCATACTCTCAGTACTGTTGATTGTGATGCATCTCTTCATATAAACTATTAAAATATGCATTTCTTACGTGTTTATACTTTATTCAATGTATCCAAGTGTATACATATCTTTCCACTGTATCCATGCGTATCCAAAGTGTATTGCAATATGTACACTGATAAGATACACTACCAATATTTCAACCTTAATAGGACCAGATAGTCTCCCTTGGATTTTTAGAACACTGGACTCTTCCTAAGAGTCTAAAGGACTTTGGGGACTTGCCCACTACCTCAATGGAACTAGGGGACCTTGGCATCCATCTCCATCCAAATTAGTAGACTATAATACCTGAGTTGCAAGTTACTCATAAAAAATAAATAAAAACCCAGGGTTGCAAGTCTTGGTCAGTAAGAAGAGTGCTTCTTTACGGCAAAAGCTCAAACCCAAGTTGGCTTTTGGTAGAAGGTTTGGCTATAGGCATATATCTTCCACATCATTACAAATCTTCTTCTCACATAAAGACCCTTTTTCTTTATTAAAACAAGTCAATGACATTTTCAAAGAGACAAATGTATTAACATGATATTACCTACAAAGTTTAGGTAGAAAATTGTCTGGTAAAAGCTTTGCCATAAAATTGGAAATGTACAAATACAAATAGTAGCAGTTATGTCTTCACTTACCAAGTATTGTTCATTTGCATCAAACAAAATAGTCTTTGACAATTCTGGGAGTAGCTCCATGTCAAGAGCTAAACTGGAGTTGTCAATTATGGGAAGAATCTCCTGCCAACTATCAAAAGCAGATTTCTCACACATCATTTCAGGGTAAAAGGCACAACAAGTACTTGAGTTTCCCACAGCCAAAACATGCTGATTAGATGCCAAGACTGACTCCAGCTTATGTTTCTCATATTCAAACCTTGTCAAAAGCATCTACAATGAAATTCAACCAGTCAAAAATGAAACAACATAAAAACGGAAACAAAATTCTTAGAAGACATTTGAAAGCAAACCTGATACATTTCCTCCAATTGTTCAACAATGTGGGTATCATCTTGATCACATCTTGTAAAATATGATGACATGCAAACACCTAAACAAAAATAAAGAGATCATTCAGATAACCAAATAAGTACCAATTACCATAAAAGAAGAAACAAGGCATATATATATATATACATATATATATGAATGTATTATAAACAACATAACAGTATAAGCACCGATGCCCAGAAACTACCTTGCATTGTCAATGATCGGAGTTCCCTATCAGATGCTACGACCCCCACAAAACAATCATTCCCTGACAATGGTTGATATTGTTAAAAACAAGATAAAATGAATAATGCTCTTATGCATTTTCATAGTTGATCAACCAAAAGTAAGAGAATAAAACTAATAAGAATACCAGGACAAGGTTGTTTACATAAGGTTTTCTTCAGTGGCCAAACCAATTCACAGAAACGCAAAAGCTGCTGTTGTTTAGCATATATCTTGGCAGAGGTTGGCAAAAGTGGATGACCTCCATGAACCCAAAGCATTGACTTGGGCAAATGAAAACTCCAAGATGACACCTTAACCAGATTTTTGCTCTCCTGCAGCACCAGAAATAATGTTACATGTAATAACTTGGGCATAAAAGGAAGAAGTCCATAACAAGATATTATAGCTATTGTACCATTAAAGTTCTAACAGCCTTTGGGAAGAAACTCTTCAATTTTGTTGCATCCTTTTCCAGAGCATGCCAAGATATTAGCAAATATTCAATGCGGCAATAGCTAATGCCCTTCCAGAATAACATGTGATCATCTATAAGGCTAGTATAAATTTGGAACAGTAGGTCAAAAGAAGGAGAAAGAACAATTACATTAAGAACCTCTTTTTCCAACTCTCTTAGGGCCTCCAGTACAGGTATGAAACAATGAGTTTCTTCCCTGTAGTCATACTCACTTTCATCTTTCCACTGTTGAAGACTAAGCTGTAGCAATCCCCAGCACTGAATACCATTATAGAGATGCCCATTCAACATTTTTGATGCAGTTAACTCTACCAACTTCAATGAAAGTATTGGAAAGAGTCTTGCATCTAGACCTACTTGGTATTGAGAAAAAAGCTCCCTCCGGCAACCAATGATATAATTCCAAATAGGATGTTTGATTTCTTTTTCAAGTAAGCCTAGAAAAGATTTAAAAAAGTGGCAGTATGGGTTCACCTTGGAACTATACCAGCTAAGCCAGAGAATATACAGCTTAAGGTCAGTTTCAAATGCCTGTTCAATCATCCAGTTGGCAGCAAAAAGAAGCATCTTATTGGTCAATGCTAAGTCAAATTTTTCCGTGCTAACATTACGGATCAATTGATCTGAAGTAGTAGGAAACAGAATGTGATTTAAAATCTGCAAAGGAATCAAAGATGGGAACAATTGCTTCTTATCAAACAATGAAGTCCCTATAGAACCAGAAGCATTCTGGTTACTGTCAATATATAATTCATAAGCAGCACACTGAGCCCCCAGGGACTCCAGATACATGCAGTTTTGTCGGACACATGCTTCTCTTGAGGACAATATAAAGTTCTTTAAGCACAGAGGGCTTGGCCACCCTCCTGGAAAGGACAGAGAGCGTCCTGAAAGTGTGTGAAATTTAGAAAGTCTAGTAGCTGACAAGCAAGATAACTTGCCATGCATAACAATGTCTCTTCCTTCAGCTTCACCTAAGGAGGATAGGTAAGTATGCTCCCAACTAAGATGGAGGCTCCACATAGGCCTATTTCCAATCAAGAGAAGCTGCTGGAATAATTGGACCCAGCGTGAAAGCTCAAGAAGTGTAATATGAACACCTAAGCACAAGCCTGCATCCCTGGCATAAATATGTGCCTCGGCCATTGAATCAACCATTTCACTGATTGGGATCCCTGACAGAACTAGAAACCGCTTTATATCTTGTAGGTCAGATCCCTTAGAGTCATAGTCACCATGCCTTTCAAGTAGCCAATTTGGTTGCATCATGAATATCTCAACTCCTCTATTCCGCATTGCTCTGGAGATTTCTCCATACCTTGGGTTCACAGTCAGGAACATGCGGAACTTGGAATGGGGCTGTAGTACAAGAGGCCTACCATCCACGAGACCACACTCGTTAACAGTGATTGATCCCCCTGGCTCCACAAGAGAATTGATCCTATCAAGAACCTAAAGTGACGGTACACAAAGATGAAGACTTAGATAAATGAAAAAGTAATCAGCAAACAGGGAATAACAGTAAAATGACAACTTGAAGCTATTAAAGGTAGGAAAGATCTGCATACCGTAGGATTGCATAAATTTGCATTGTCCAGAACAATCCACTCCCCACACTCTATAGCCTTTATAAGTACCCCTGTGACCCATTCAAACTTTGCTGAAAATCGCTGTTTATTGCAACACTCTTGCAGGTTTAGGATAATCTTCATAGTCTTACTCAAGTCCTTGTGTGTCCAAGATACTGGTAATTGATATTTTTCCAAATCCAGCTTCATCTGTTCAATGATGTGGACCAACGAATCCAGAAAAATGAAGGAACCATTAGAAATATCTGCATATCCAGAAGTGGAACTTGAAGAAAGATACCCATTTATTCTGGATGATAAATCTAGCCACTTGGATATTAAATCTTTACGCTCAATTATAAATGCCTCCTTTGATGATTCCAAATAAACATTGCAGTATTCACCAATGTACTGCTCAATTTGTGCAATAACACAGCGAAAACTGCGAAAAGCGTTGTATTGCTCAAAACACCCAAGCAATTCAGAAATATCAGTTGCAGATGAAAGATTTAATTCATTAAGCACATTTCCAGTGAGCTGGGCAAGTAACCTAACAATTGAAGTTTTACCAGATGATGATGGACCAACCAAAATGCACAACCATTGATTCTGTACACAGTGTAAAGCAGCTTCCAAGCTATTACAAATTCCAGGCAATAATTTAAGTTCATGTTTCAATGATTTATATGGCTGAAAATGGTTTCTTTCAACAACCGTATTCCCAACAACTAAGTAATTAGGATTAATTTGTACTCGTGGACAAGGATTTATAGATGGTCTCACTCCAAAGACCTCTTCATATAGTTGTATGACTTCTTTACGATCAGCTTCCGTACGCATCCTTTGAATGTACACAACACTAAGAAAGCAATCAAGCTTTGATGCATCAGGTGCACCTACAATTAGATTGCTTAACGTTAAAGACCTGGCATTATAAAAATAAGAAAAAGAAGGTAATAAACAAGATTGCATTATACCTTCTATGATATGGCATGACCGAATGACATCTCGCAGATTAAACTCCCAGGGTGAACCATCCTGACCATACTTGCCAGATAACATTGTGTCTTCATAAAGTCGCTTATTAAACAAAATTAATTTTGATAACAAAGATTTTGGGATTGATGGATGAAGTGAACTGCAGATGAAAAGGTAGTCATCCTCAGCTAACTCATCCACATAAACCTACAAATATGAACATGTAAAATTAGGTTACCAATTATGTCCAACACATGTATTAAGCTGAACCCTTAAAACATATAGTAGTAATACTGAGATATATAAAACAGAGGTATCATTGTAATATTACTGCTTTTTACTATTGAGTATAATCAACTTACATGGGTCATTCAACCAAAAGTTTATTCCAATCAACCCCTCAAGTCTCTCTTCTTCTCATCTCATTCTTCTTTTGTTCTCTCCTCCTTTCTTCTTCTTCATATAATAAAACTACAAAAACCTAGTTAGCATAGTTGTCAAGGTGTCAAATAGACACCTTGCCTAAATGCCTTGTTTATAGAAACAAAACACCCATCTAGGTTACTAGGAACCCACCTAGGTGATAAAAATGACAAGCCAAGCAAATTATGCAATGCCATTCACATTGTGACCTGGGTGACCAGAGTTCAAATCTTGGAAACAGTCTCTGTATGTGCAGGGGTAAGGCTGTGTACACCTGTCCCTCCCCAGACCCCACATTGGCAGGAGCCTTGTGCACTGGGCTGTTTATACTTCGTTTAAAATTTTACTATTGAAATTTAAAGGACCCAAAGGTTTCAAGAGAGAAAAGAGGAAATATACAATATAAAGAGGGGTCGACTACATGAATCCTGTTTTTGCCGTGCCATATCCATTGTCAAATTATGGGTGCTTAAATCATTTCTTTCTTTCGTTTTGATAAGTAGTGCTTAAATCATTTTTTACTACTTCCACCTAAGCCTTTTTTTGGTCTGTAACAGATTACTTCTAGTGTTTTGCTTGGAGAAAGACATCTGGTAGAGAAAAAAGTTTTTTTTTTTTTTTTTTTTTTTGTTTGAGGAATGTAAAGGAGGAGTTCTTAAGTTTGAAGAGAAAGGGAGATCGACAGTTGATGGGGCAACCATGCAGTGACAAGACCAGGCTGGAGCAGTGTTTGGAAAAGAAACAGGAACTTCTTTTCAATTGAGAAGAAAGTTAATAGTAAAGGATATTTTTTAAGGTTGGATGAAGCGATGGCAGATTGTAGGAGACAGGTTGTTTGCTTTCCAGAAGGGAGGAATAGTTAGGGTTGGGCCGTGGCTGCTGAGATGTTGCAGGAGTTTGAAGAAAGGTGTTGCTTGAAAAAGGAAAAGAGGATGAGGAAGGTATTTTGGACACTGATGATAAGGGAGAAGCTTTGGAAAGGACTGGGGGAGATTGGGGAGAGCAAAGCGATATGTTGTGGAAGAAGGGTGGAGAGACTATTTTGACTTCGTGGAGAAGTATTGAAAGTAGAGTCACAGAAAAGGGGGAGAGCAGACAGGGAGATGAGATGGATGGGGTTTAAGGGGCAAAGGAAACGAGGGACATGGAAGAGCTGTTGGGGAACAGAAGAGGAAAAGGGGATAGAGGTTCAGCAGAGGAGAATGGAGGGGAGAAAGAATTAGGGATTGGAGGGGGAAGCGAGCATGAAGGAGGCAAGATTGGAGGTGAGGTTAGACCATATAAAAGGAAAAAATATAGAACCTTTCCCTTAGAGGAGAACAGAGAGGAGGGTTGAAAGCGGATTTAAGGGGGGAAAGTGAGGGTGAACCAATGATTGATAAGACCCATAAGGTAGAGAAGACTTGTGACACCAAGAATGTGGTGAAAATGGGAGTGAAAGTCAGAAAAATTCTGGGTCCATTTTTCCTAGGAGGGGAGGAGTTTGCAAAGTAACAAATTACTTCTAATGGGTGCTGTAGATAAAATGCTCATGAAAAAACCACCTCAGTCTACTCACTGAATTAGATAAAAAGTCGTATTCAAATCAATGGTTGAGGGGATTTAATTTAACATGCCCAAATGAAAGCTTTAGTTCAAAGTGAATAGTAGTAGCGGGTTGCTATTAGAAATACTAATTAGCATTTAGCCATGGTGCCATGCTAGGAAATAGTAAACTGAGCACCAAGAATGGAAATGATAATGATAATCTTCTTTGTAAATACTGTAAGAAACCTTGATAACTAACAAAACATGTTACAGGGATAGCAATCAAGGTTCAAGAAGGGCAAGAAGCAGTGTAGGTTGACACAAATATGGTTGCATCAATAGAACTACTGATTCATGCTACAGCAAGGTTCAACTAGTGGTGTCATGGTATCATTCCTTCTGTGTACTCTCCTACCAATGTTGTTGCCACTATCTCTTTTGCACACTCAGCTGACCATGCCTCTTGTGACACTACATCTTCTGGTATCATGGTATCTACTCCTTCCCAGGTCATTAACTTATGAGCTTATGACCATATGACTGGTATATAAACTCTCGTTTCTTCTTATCATCCCTTTCAACCTTCCCATTGCTCTTCTCAAACATCCAAACTGGGAAGCATCAAGTCAACCTACTAGTACAATATTCATTTACCAATGCATATGTAAAAGCCTTTTAATCTAAAAGGCATTACTCAATATTGGTACAAGCTATCTGGGATCTCGGACAGGTGGACTGATACTGACGGGACTGACCTACCTTTGACACTTTTTTCTTTGCACAAACTCTCTCAGACTCGAACCAATGTTCTCATGTTTTTCAGCCCTAGTTTTTACCATTACACCAACCAATGGCCCCTGAGTAATTTTCTAATCTTGTCAGTTAATTTTCTCAACCAGTGTTTAGAAAACCTGACCTGCCAACCTATCGGAACAGATGAACTGTGACCCAGGGCATTGGCTGGTTCTGCCACAGACTAAAAACTGAATTGATAGAAAATCGGACAAAACTGGCTGACCAGCTGTTTATCCGGAGAACCTGTGAACCAGTCCTGGTTTCATAAAACTGCTCAGGTCACTGAATGAATTGAAATTTGAAAATGACAATGGCAAGACTTGAACTCATGACACTTTATTTGTGTATTACCTTGTTACTGTTGATCCATTTATTTATTTGTGCTCATTTATGCCTCTTTAAACTTTAACGCATATATCGCTTTAATTCACATGTATTTTAAAGAAAATCTGAGTGGAGAGGTTTGAACTCTAGTCATTTGATTTAAAAACTAAGGAATAAGCCATCTTTCCACGACATTCAAGTCTGATGGAGACGCTTGAACTCTTTACACCTCCAGTTTGACCACAGTTTAACCTCTGACCCTTGAACTTCTCCCTTTTTAGGTTCTATGCCTGGTCCAGTTCTCCGAATATTGTTCTCAACATCCTCACCTCCATAAAACTCATTTTATGGGGCTTGTTAATTACTGACCAACACTCTTGCTTCAAACAAAACACCTAGACTAGAACAAAGGCCAGAGAAAAACCATAGAGAACAAAAGAGCCCAGAAATACAGCCGAATTGTTTATATACCACAAATACTTATGAATCTCACCTTAGTGAAGCGATTGAGAAAGGACTTTGGAAGACCTTTCCTGCCTCCACCCTGAGAAGAAGGATTTTGACACGCAAAAACTCTGAAAGTTGGTGGGCACTTAAAAGTACACCCAAGCTCTGGAATAAAAACCTCAGCACGATGGTCTAGAATAGCATTCAAACCCTGACGAAAATGAATCTTCACTATTAGTCATATATGGCTTCAAAGTAAAATGCACACTTAAAAACTTCAAATAAAAGTGGTACACAACAGGTAGTGCCCTTGCTGCCTTGCCTCTAAGACAGATTGTGGAGCAAGATTAAGTTCATCCAACAGAACCCAACTTCCATCCTTCAGAGCCTGCAGAGTGATTAACCAAAAAGGATAACCTCAGAGTGAAATTCCATAAAAAGATAAAGAAGCTAATGTTAAATAAGTAAGACACTTCAACCTGCAGAAGAATTCCATCAGACCATGCAAATTTAATTCCTTCTTCACTTTCGGTGGGCAAGTCTGAACCCAATAAGTCCATCATGTCAGTCTGCAAAGATTGATATTTTCAATAAATAAAAAGCATAAAAAATAAGAAAAGAGTAAAGTAGTAAACTGGTAAACCTGCAAATTACCAAACCTGCTCTGAAAGGTTTATTCGGACAACTTTATGCCCAGAAAACTTCCCAAGCGCAACAACTAGACTTGTTTTTCCAACACCTGGGCTACCTTCAAGTAAAACTAAAAGTGTGGACACAGATAAAGATGTCAGAAAACAATAAAATAAAGTCAATCAAGAAAAAAAAGCCTTCAATGCTTACATACCAGGCTTTGGAAGCTGCATTGCACGCAATACACGCATGGCGTTTCTTCGAGTAGTTGGTGCCAGAAACTCAAATCCATTAGGCTTACAGTCCCCATTACCTAGAAGCAGATAATTGAAAACTAAGTTAACATTGAAATGGCTATGGAGAGTAGGAACTCCTTCCAAAATAGCTTTCTTCCTTTGGACATCCATCTTAGACAGGATTTCCACAATAGACCACCAGGAGTTGGATAATTATTGCTGCCTATGTGGATCAATGGAAGAATCTGTTCCCCACTTGTTGATGTTCTATGATAGTCTTACAGCATTTGACCATTTCTTAAGGTTGTTTGGATGTAATTGGGTTTTCCCAAAGGGCTTAATGTCATCGTTCTCCTATTGGGCCTGAAAGGTCTGAGTAGAAGGGATAAGGTTCTATGGAAATTATCTCCTTTAGCAATCTGTGGGTCTCTACTGACAGAGAGCAACAGCAGAACTTTTCTGGCGTATCCTATCAACAAATTCATTTACTTAGAGAGAGAGAGAGAGAGCTAGCGAGAGACAATAAATTTTTATAAGTCCACTGATATAAAAGAGACATGCTAAAAAGAAATAACGTTCTTTATTACAGTTACAAAGATCATTGCTCAGACTAATAAGAGGACAAATTCCAAAATCTACTTGGTGTAGCTTGACCTCTAGATCAATCAGTTCACTGATAAACACAAAGTACATGACTCAATTAAACTTGGTAATTTGGAGGCAGTGTGATCATTCTCCATGTAGGCTGTACAAGAGCTGGTCAGAGAGGAAGGAAGCCTCAGAGGCATTCAGTAGCAAAGAGGAAACAAAGGGAGTGAGAAACAGGAAAGTGGTAAGAGTGGTCAAGGGCGGAAGGTTGTTCATAACTATATAATTGGTCTGCAGTTTCATAAAAAAAAATAAGGTTGTTCATAGGACTTGTACACAGTGAATTAGGAATATGTTGTCTAGCAAAACAAACAAGACATATATCCAATGTTAGCACCCATCAGCTATCCCCAATCTAAACCCTTATTTTTGTTATAGGAAAAGAAGAAAAGAAAAGAAAAGTAGTAGTAGTAGTAGTAGAAGAAGAAGAAGAAGAAGAAGAAAATGTGTTGATTAGACAAAATTTTAAGTTCTTCCGTACTTATTGGTTCAAGTTTTAAGGTCTTTGAGGGTTCATTACAGTGTTTAGCAATGTTTGTATTGATTAAACCCTAACAAATAAGAAAATAACAAAAAGAAATTAGTATATAAACACACAAAATGAATATCTTAGTTTAATAGTGCCTATTTTATAATTATAATGTAAAAAAATAAAGAATAAGAAAGTATTTTATAATTACATAATACAAAACTGCTTCGCGATTAGGCAAGGCGAGCCTTAAAGGGCATCTTGTCGCCTAGGCGTCGCCTTGACAACTATGATTCAACCATAATGCTCAAATGAAAGAAGAAAACAAATTTAGTCCCATTCTAATCCACTATGTATATACATCCATCACTATTTAAAAAAAAGAAAAAAAAAAACGGATTTCTTTGCCTTATCAAATGAAGGATAACCTACCATATTCATCTTTTTTATGTTCCAAAAGAGTCCAATAGTGCTGAACTAAGATGATATGATTTCTTTTAGTTGTATAGAGAAATATTATTTTGCTTTTGAAGTCTTCTAATATGCTGATGATACAACCCAAATTGAGGTGTGACAATCAAATATCCCTAATTCATGCCACAAAACAAGAGGTCTATTCTTAGTGAACATGTCAATTTCAGATTGCACCTCAGACAAGTTGATTGCACCTCTACCTAATGATACAAGATTGTGCCTCTTTAAAAACAGTTCTATAGACAAACTCATTATGTTAATGTAAGCTATTAAATTCCTTGTAAATGAACATACTTGAAAAAATACAATAATTACCTTTTGAAATGTAGAATGGATCTATACCAAAGAGGTGATCCAGGCTGACATTACTATTGAACAAGATATCTTCTGAAGCACTTCCATGATCACCCCACCCATAATTTTCCATTTTGGATAATTTTGAATAATCCAAACCAGCATTTCCTATCTGTTCCAATGAAGATAGCATTATTTAGTTATGAGGGTCAACTATACCATGGCAGGTTCTTTCCAAGTCAAAAAGACATTTACTTACAAAAGAATATGAAGAATAAATAGGAAGCAAAAGGACTTTCTATGCATTCAAGAATGGAAAAAGGAAGCACCTTTTTGTAATAAAATCAGTATCAAATGCATTAAAAATAAACAAAAAAAAACACACTTGCATGCACTAATATGACAGAAGCAAGAAAAAAACAAATAACCTTAGAAACAAGTAGGAGAAAAAGCCAAGCCCTGCCAACTCTAGTGCTGTACAAGAACCAGTATACAACTATACAAGAAGCCCCAAAACAACTGACCATAATAAATCAACCCAAATACACCTCTACTGCTTCCTCTTATACTTAGGACTATTCCTTTCACTGCCACCATAACCCCCCCCCAAAAAAAAAAAAAGATTCTTTATTCTTTCCTATCCAGGGATAAAGAAATTTTGACTAGAGGAACAGAGAGAATTTTTTGTGTCTAGCTATCTATAGGGTAAGGTTGGGACTGTTGATCCCTTTTCCTCACTCTATTTATCCCTCATTACAATGTAGCCCAAAATAATTGTTGTCTCAATGCCCCTTGTTTTGCTAATCCATCAGCTAGCCCATTTGCACTTCTATGGACCCATTTAAATTCAGCCTCAACCTCCTTGRCAATCTTCTCCACTTCCCTAATCACATGYTTAAWCGTCCATGGGGTGTGGCTGCTATTTGTTGCCCATGAAACTACTACTTTTGAATCCCCTTCCACTTCAACATGTCTGCATCCTAGTTGTTTGGCTAGCTTTAACCCTTGTAATAATGCCAGTAGCTCAGCCTTCAGCAAGTTTCCGTTGCCAATCAGCCCTGAGAACATACCCAATATCCTCCTGTCAAGGTTTCTTAACATTCCTCCTATTCCCGAGATGCCTGGATTTCCATATGAGCACCCGTCAAAATTCAGCTTTACTTTATGGCCTTCAGGTGGTTTCCACTCCGGCCTTATTTTATCTCTTACACTCGAAGATTGTGCTACTTCGGACCATGTTCTTAGAATATCTTCAACTGAGAAGACTTGAAAGCAATCCAAGAGTTTTACCCAATGGGCTACTTTCACTTTGATATTATTAATCACTTCCTCTACTGTTCTACTTTTTTCCAGGAAGATTCTGTTGTTTCTCTCTTCCCATATTACCCAACAAATTGCTGTCGTTGTTGCTTTCCACATTACCATCCCTCTTTTCTTTCTCTGTCTCAAGAAATCATGGTTGAAGAGTCTTGCCACATCTTGAGGGGGAGCCCACCTGCAGCCAAAGAGAGTACAAAAGAAATCCCAAATTCGATGCACAAAAGAACAAGATATCATTAAATGAGAAAGGGTCTCGCCACTTTCTTTTCTGCAGCATATCACAAGCATTTACCTTACCAAGGAATACTTCCCAACAAAAAGCTTGGATCTTCGGGAGAATAGGCTTGCACCAGATTTCTTTCACAGGGAAGGTCCCACCTAGAGAGTTGGGGGAAGCAAGTACTTTGAAGAAAGAGGAGCAAGAAAAGAGGCCGTCTGGAGAGCCTACCCAGATTCTTGAATCTTCCAATGAAGGGTCCAGTTGGATTTGCCCTAAGAGGTTCAGCAAACGGGTTAAGGATTCACACTCATTCTCCCTTAGTGCCCTTCTAAAGCCTAAATTCCAGTTCATACCAGTTGGACACAGAGATCCTAACATGGATATAGCTTTACCCTTAAGGTTAGATAATGCAAAGAGATCAGGAAATTTATCTTTTAATGGGGTTTCCCCTACCCATAGATCTTCCCAAAACAGAATTCTATTACCTTGTCCCACATCATACCAGATGGAATTGAGGAAAGTAGGGTAGATTTCATGAATTGCTTTCCAAGGAGCAGCCGAAGACCTGTGAGGGGAAACTTTGCATCCCAGCCATTTCCAGCCACCCCATGAATGCTCTCAATCCAAAGCCACTTACCTAGTAGAGCTGTGTTCCTTAAAAGGATGTTTCCAATTCCCAAACCCCCTTGTTCCTTGGGTTTACTAACCTGCTCCCACTTGATCAAGTGATCCTTTCCCTTCCTCTCCTGGGTCCCATAAGAAATCTCTCATATACTTTTCTAGGCAGTTTGCTACCTTAGAAGGGATTCTAAAAGTTGGAAGGAAGTAGGTGGGGAGGTTTGCCAGAGTGACTCTAATCAAGGTTATTCTTCCACCCAACGAAATGTAATTCCTCTTCCAAAGGGCTAACTTCCTATCAAACCTTTCTATCACGGGTTTCCAGAAACCAACTGACTTGGGGTTTCCTCCTAAGGGTAAACCTAGGTAACTAAATAGGCCAGCTTCTAATCTCACACCCCAAAATTTTTGCAAATCTTGTTAGTTCCCCTTCCTCCAAATTGACCCCTACAATTCCACTTTTAGTCCAATTTATCCTCAGTCCTGTCACTCCCACAAAATTATTCAGCAGCACCCTCAAATTTTCCACCAACTCCTCATTGTTTTCCTTCACAAAAAAATATGGTGTCATCTGCAAATTGGAGATGGGTAACAATCACTCGGTTTCTACCTACCCTCGACCCTCTGATGAGGCCTTGAGCATCAGCTTTTGCCACTATTCTACTTAACACTTCTGCCACTAAGGTAAACAAGAATGGGGATAGGGGGTCACCTTGCCTAATTCCTCTCCTGGTCGGGAAGAAGTCCTTTGTTGTGCCATTGATTAGGATTGAGTAGTGAGCTGAACTTAAGCATCCTTTGATCCAAGCCCTCCATCTATCTCTGAATCCAAATCTTTCTAAAACTTTTAGGAGGACATCCCAATTAACCAAGTCATAGGCTTTTTCTAGATCTACCTTACAAACCAGTCCCTTTTCTCTACCCTTTCTTCTTTCCCCTACACATCCATTAGCCACCAAGATTTGATCCACAATCTGCCTTCCTTCTACAAAAGCTCCATGAAAAGGAGAGATGATCGAGGGTAATACCGTTTTTAGTCGTTCTATTAAAACCTTTGACAGAATTTTGCAAACACTCCCAATGAGACTTATTGGTCTAAAGTCTTTGGGGGTTTTGGCCTCCCTCTTCTTTGGAATCAAAGTGATAAATGTGGCATTTGCTCTTGGTGATACCTCCCCTTTGGAGAAAAATTCATTAAAGACTTCCAAGATGTCTGATTTTACCATATCCCAACACTCTTGATAAAAGGCCATGGAGAAGCCATCCGGCTCAGGGGCTTTAGATCTGTCCATTGAAAAAAATAGCTTCCTTGATTTCTTGCAGGGAAAATCTCCTTTCTAGGACACGAGAATGTTCTTCTAACAAAATATCACCTTCCATCTCTGGCAATTCTGGCAAAACTCCCTGTGGGCTTGAGAAAATTTCTTTAAAATGATTTACAAAACTCCTTGTAATCCCCTGGCTTTCTCTTACCACTTGTCCCTCTTCCTCCACACTCAAGAGTAAATTCTTCTTTCTCCTTCCCATTGCAAGAGAGTGAAAAAACTTAGTCTTTCTCCTTCCCTTGTAATCTCCTCCTTTCGTAGTATCTCTTCAAGTTTTTGCTTTTGATTCCATCTTTCCCCTCTTTCTTCTTCTGAAATGACTCTGAGAGCCTCTTTCCTGTCTAGCTCCTCAATCCTTTTCACCAAGATATCTTTTATTTCCTCCACCCTTCCCAAAATGGACTTTATTCCATTCTTTTATTTTTTTCTTTTAGCCTCTTCAGTTTTCTGGAGAAACCTACCATTTTTAACCTCCCCAAAGGTCTGAGTGTCTCCCACCACTCCTTTAGCCTAATCTTAAAGGTAGGGTCTTTGAACTACATGTTCTCAAATCTGAACGGAGAAGGGCCTCCCCCTGGGATTTCTTTCTCAATACAAATAAGGCAATGGTCTGAGGTTACTCTAGGTAAGCCTCTTGCAATCAGGAATCCCCACATTTCTTCCCACTCTGGAGATAAGAGGAATCTGTCTAGCTTGGAGCAGGTTGGGGGGAATTGAAAATTTGACCAAGTATAATCTACCTGAAGCAAGGGGGGGTCTCTTAATCCCAGAGAGTCTATTAACCTATTGAACCTCCTCATGCTAGTAGTTAATCCCTGATTCGGATTGTTTGATTCCCCTGAGTATCTGATGACATTAAAATCACCCTCCACACACCACGGGCCATTCCACAATCCCCTGATGGCACATAATTCCTCCCAGAAAGCCTATCTTTCTCTGTAGGAATTAGGGCCATATACATTTGTTAAAGCCCATTCTCTTCTATCCAACTTTCTTTTAATTTTTAGGGAGATTGAATACCGGCCTATCAATTCTTCCACACATTCTGTTTCCTCATTTTTCCATATGGTCAGAATTCCCCCTAAAGCTCCCCGTGAGGGTGTATATGACCAACTCAAACCCCTGGCTCCCCAAATGCTCCTTATCCACTTTCTATTCAGCTCTAATAATTTGGTTTCTTGAATCATGATCAAGTCTGGTTTTGTGACACCCCTGGGTTGGTACTTCTCAACACTCCCCTCTTCTTTTCTTCCCAATTTCCTCCTTCACATAATTTATTCCACTCATAAGCTTCTCAATCTCACTCATTTTCCTTTTCCTTTGCTTACTCTTTTTTCTCAGGTAGACTTTCTTTCCTTTTGCCTTTGTACCGCCCACCCTATCTCCTTCTAACCCCTCCTTTCCCTCCTGCCCATCTTCCTTTGACCCCTCCAGGGTTTCGTTCTAGGATTGCTTTGTTTGGGTAGTGAATGGGTTTAGGCTAGCCTCAGCACTATCCAAACCTAGGGTTGGGTCAGCTACAACTTCTAGGACTAAAGATATAACCCTAGCCCTCTCCTCCTCTACTCCATCTCCCAATTGATTCTTTGGCTCCAAAATTGTGGCACTTTGGATTGAGAGTTCCATAGTAGGTGGGGTTATGACAGGACCTGCACAAGTAGCCAAGACCAAATTAGATACCTCTTTAGAAGGAAGCAAAGGAGAGGAAAAAGGAATAGGAGATAAAAGTGTGGGGGTTCCCTTGTTCGGCACGTCCAAAACCTTCCTTCGATCAAAACCGGGCTGATTGAGAGTCCCTGGCAGGTAACACTGGGATAGCATCTGACTTTTGTTACTCTTGTGTATATGTGCTTCAGATAGTGTTGATATCCGAATCTCTATCTTGGATATCCTAACGTTGTGTCTCCCTTGGTAATTCTCTTGGATCACTGTCGACTACAACTAGGTCCGCCTTAGGGGATGAGGCAAGTCTCACCTCTATTTCTTGTTCTAGTGACAATACAGAGGTTCTAGAGGGTTCTTCAAACAGTAGAAGCGTCCCTATTATCTCATCATTCCATAGATTATAAGTTTTAGTGGGTGAGACACTTCCAATGCTGCTTTAATCGTGCCAAACATCTTCTTGCCTTGGATCTTCCCAATCATCTTCATCCTCGGAGTCTTCACGCTCGGACCTGTTAAACTTCGGGTTTGGCTTGTCTGGGGTTGTGGAATTTGTCTTTGCAACCAGCATCCATTTCCAGTTGCACTCTGATCAGACGGATTTTACTCCAACGTCACCGCCGACTGCTTTCAGAAGAGGGGTTTTGGACTCTGACCAAACGGATATTACTCCAGCGTCACCGCCGACTACATTCAGAGGGGTTCCGAAGATGTTTTCCGCGAATGCAGCAATAGAGGAGGTAGCAAAGGTCGATTTGGACGATGATAGACCCCCAGCAACCGTCCTCAAACCTTTGGGCCGGCCTGAGCCCATGTGACTTTAAGTGGTCACGTGACCTATTTAAGTTGCCTGGTTCGACCAATTTAGACCCTGGATCCAGTTTTGGCGCCCTTACAAAATTTGATCTTTTAATTCCACCCCTCCAACTGCCACATCAGCATAAGATGTTTTCTTAGTTCAATGATCTGAAATGAAACGCTCAAATTCTAATCCCTCTTTGGAATGCTGACCGTCAGCTTTCGAGATTACTGTCTGCCCGTTTGCCTTCTTGCAAAGACGGTCAGACTTCTCCTCCAAGCTTCTCCCATTTTTTACCTTTGCCACGCCATCGTCTTCTACCACTTGCAGGTGTCTACAAAGTCTCTCCTCCACCGACGACAGCAACCAAACAACCTCATGTGTGTCCCCTACCTCCAATCTCACTGTTCTCGGAATTGATTCTACTTTAACTCCCCCCAGTTTCATTGAAGCTGCTCTGATATTAGAGACATCCGCTTCCTCCAGAACACCGCCGCACAGATCTGCGATTGTCTTGAAGTTTACATGGGACCAAAGATGAAACG